ACTGGGCTTCCTCTCCTCTCCTAACCCCCTCCCCGAGCTGATCCTCATGGCAGCCCCTTCCCACTGCATCTGAGTCACGTGCTGACTTCTGGCGCCCTACACCCTTGCAAACCTGACTTGCAGTGCGCTGGGACTCTCTGATCCTGGAACATCTGTGGTCACTTTGAATCACGAATGTTGCTGGACCAGAGAATCCTGGATTTTAGAGGTACAACCTTGTACTAACTTCAATGGGTCTGAATCTAAGCATTGTACTCTGAGAGAAATGTTCTGGTTCTCTTTCTTTGAGGTAACTGATGAGAGTTGTTAGTCAGCTCAGTTCAACTGTGTGTTTGCCAGTTCAATGAAAGGGGATTAACCGTATGTCAGAGCTAGAGCAAGAGACAAAAATGAAACTTGGATTATTTGAATTTAATTTTTTCCACAATATACAAGGCTATGAAGTGCCATGAGTTTCAAAACTCATTTGTTGTAAAAGTTTTGCTGTGCACACCTGGTCTTGGGCAAACACAGAAATATTAGAAGAAATCAAAATATGTATAAGAAGAAATACTTAATCCAAGTGGCTAGCATTAGTCTCCTTTTGTGTAATTTAGAAGGATTATTGTTCTTATTTTGCAAGCTAAAGCATTTTTGTAAAAAATGTGAACTTGATGATTGTGGGAAAACTTTAAGTAGCTCTTCATATTACTGGAGTCTCTGTATAAGGCAGAATATCTTTTATTAAACTAAGTCGTCATAAAATCCAGGCTGGGTTTCTAGTTCACATGCTTTTATTGTGATCAAAGATGTACAGTTTAATTAAAATTTAAGATGATGTTGGGTTTTTTTTATAGCTTCTTGGAGAATTAGAAAAGGACCCCAAGCTTGTTTACCACATTGGCCTCACTCCTGCCAAACTGCCTGATCTGGTGGAGAATAATCCTTTAGTTGCTATAGAAATGTTGCTTAAACTAATGCAGTCAAGTCAGATAACAGAGTATTTTTCTGTCCTGGTCAACATGGACATGTCTTTACATTCAATGGAAGTTGTAAATAGGTAAGTGTTTCTTGTTATTTTAAATCTAAATTTACCTTTGCCAGTTCTTGCACTGTAGTCCTCTTATCAGTATTGCTCTAAAACAATTAAAGCAGAATGTTTCACAGGGGATGGCTTATAAATTTTACTAACCGTGACTTTATGCATAGTGGCATAGAGTCAGATTTGAAAAATAACTTTTTCCACTATGCCCCTAAGGTTACCAAAGGTGGCAGGAGTTTAGGAAATAGCTGTCAAATTTCATTGAAATAATTCGTGACTTGAAAACAATGAATGTTCTGCTTAACTAGAAGATTTTTACTTTTCCACCTTTATATTTCTGAAGAAAATAAACTCTTCTGTGCCAATATAAATCATGTGACAGTGAATGCATTTCATTTGAATAGTATACTTGTGGCTTCTCTCATTTTCATATTGAACTTGTCAGATATTTGTATGTAAATATTTCTTTGTATATTCTTTGTAATCAAGAGAACGTATTAGTAGAAATAAGCTTTTTTCAGTGTTCACTTTATAAAAATTTTGCCTGATCACCACAAACCTTTAAACTGAGTTCTTGCATGTTTTATTATATCCTAATAACCACATGTGGTATAATACAGTATCCTTATTAGACAGCAGCCAGTACTATGAATCATAGCATTATATGAGAAAGTGACAACATATAAATTAAAAAAATCTACCTTGAATACTTGTTGTTAAAGTGTAAGGCTTATTGATTAATATATGGCCTTATTTACCTAGTACATGTATTTACAAAATGACAGATTAGTGTCTGTACTTCTGGAGTCTTGATATTATTAGATTTAGAAGGTCAAGTGTCAGAAGGGTAGCTGTTTAGGCTGTAACTTTTTTAAAAAAAACTAGTAGTTCTGTAGCACTTAGACTAACTACACATACACACTCTCACTCTCTATGCTTTTTTTGTTGGAAAAAAAAAAAAAAAGATGCTGGTACTAGGGTTGCCAGATGGTTTAAAAGAAAATTTGATAAACATTTGTCAAGCAAAAAAAAAAAAAAAATCGCTGGGGAACATTTGTCAAGAGGGGGGGAAGGAGAAGGAGGGGGTGCCAGAGAATAACCTGGGAGGTTGGGGCTGAAATGCGGTTGCAGCCCCTTTAATTGCCATGTCTCCTGAGCGGGCCTCCGTCTGATGCGGCGCAAGTGCTCCCAGGGCCGGCTGAGGGCTGTGCCGGGGGAAAGCAGCAAGTGCTCCCAAAAAAAGGTGTCAGTGCATAGTCACAAAAACAGCACTGTGTGTGTGTGTGTGTGTGTGTGTGTGTGTGTGTGTGTGTGTGTGTGTGTACACTGCTTTTTTTTGGTAAGAAAAGAGGTGCTGGTATGCTAGGGGCAAACTTGTTGAGCCCAGAAAAAGGGGGGAAAAAAAGGATAACTTGTTGAGACAAACAACACCCCCCCCCCCCCAAAAAACCAACAACAACACAACCCCCTGCGCTGGGGGCCGAAATTTGGGTGCGGCTCCTTTAAGAGCCACAGCGCTGCACTGGGAGCGGGAAAAAAAAATGCTGCGCATCCTGAGCAGGCTTCCATCAGGAGTTGAGCTGCCTCAGGAACAGGTGCTGTACATGCAGGGGAAATCCCATTCCCTTTCTGTGAGGTGGGAAAATAGGTGATGGTATGCTGTTCCGGGCAGTACCGTCACAAAAAAAGCACTGTGTGTATATATAGTGTCATGAGCAAAACCCACTTCCTAGCATTAGTTACCATTATTTTCCATAATTGGCTATAGAAATGGCAGTGGCCTTTTAAAAAAATTCTGTTCCACTGGTGTACTCTGTACTTGACGTGAGTTGATGAGGTTTTTACCGTTAGGCCTGTAAGACTGAGTGAGCCAGATTCTATTTTATAGAATTATTCCAGTTAATTAACATCAGGTACCTTTGCTTTCATTGGGGTTAATTTAGTTTACCGAGCATTTTTTCATGGTGAGGAAGAAAGAATGTAACTACTTCTCCTAGGACATGTCTGCACCTCAAAAAAAAAAAAAAAAACCCTGTAGCAGGCCTGTGCCAGTTGGCTCAGGCTGTGGGGCTGTTTCATTGGTCTATGGACTTCCGAGATTAGGCTTTAGCCCAGTGTTGGAAGTCTGCACAGCGATGAAACCGCCATGCAGCATGGCCTGGCTGAGGGTGTTTGGTTGCTATGTAGTAATACCCTTACAGCAGGGGTGGACAGTAAATTTTATGGGTGGCACTCCCAAGTTTTTGCTAAGTAGTCAAGGGATGCACTTTATTATAGAGGGAGTGCAGAGCCTGGGACATGGTTTGGTGCAGAAGGGAGCTCAGGATAGGGGATTCAGGTATAGGAGAAGGTGTGGAGTCTTAGCAGGATCTTGGATGAAGGAGGGGGTTGTGATGTGGGGCAAGGGATTAGGAGTGCAGGGTGGTGGAGGGGGGTATGGATGCAGGAGAAGATTCTGACCTGGGGGAAGGTTTAGAAGCAGGTGCAGGGTCTAGAGAGTTGTGACCTGGGGCAGGGGTATGTGTGCAAGGGTTTGGGTGGTGACCTGAGGGAGGGGATTGGGATGCAAGAGAGGATTCTGAGCTGAGGGAAGGGTGTAGGAGGGAGGTGCAGGGACTGAGAGGGAGTTGTGACCTGGGAAAGAGGGGGTGCAGAGGGGTTTCAGTGGTGACCTTGTGCAGGAGGGGGTGGAATGCCAGAGGCAGGCTCTGGCTGGGAGGCACTTACCTAGGTGGCTCCTGGCCAGTAGCCCAGTGGGCCCCCAAGGCTGGCTTTCTGCCTGCTGTAGCCCAGGCTGCTCAAAATGGTTGGAAGCTGCCTCCCTGTGCCTCTCTGCTCCACATGCCTCTTGGGCTAAGGGTGGGAGCAGTGTGCAAAGTCATACACCCTCTCTCCCAGCAAGGGGCACATGGCACCTAAGGGGAGCTGCCAGCTATTCTGAGCAGCCTTGGGGTGCAAAGAGCCTGCCACAGTCTGGATCAGAAGGCTTGATGGGCTCAATCCATGGGTCCTGCCTTATGGTCTAGGTTATATTGGTAGAGTAGTGAAAACATTTGACTTGTAAATTGAGCAATTTTGCTACTTTAATTGGAGACAGCTGTTCAGTGCCAATTTTAGTCCTTAGAATGGTACTGTGCTGATGCTTGTGAGGTTTATGGGGAAGCACTGAAACCTGCTCATCTTAACTGGAATCACTTTGGGGGGGAGAAGGAAGAATTGGAAGATGTCAATAAGAGCATATGATGAGTGAGAGAGTCTTTGCCTGGAGTTCATGAAAAGAAAATGCTCCCCGACTGTAATACTAAAACTAACACTGAGGGAAGTACTGCTTCTGCTAGGGTAAACTCATCATCTCGTTTTCTTGTTTCTCACTTTCGCACCCCTTCCTTCATCTCCCCAACTTGTCATCTGATTGGCATCTGGCAGAATGAACAGGAGCAGCAAGAAACACACAATTCTTGTTCATTCAGTAGTGCCATTTGCCATAAAGGGGAAAAACCTGACATTTGGAGTCCGTGCAGTGATTCTTCAACACCGTGATGTCCCCTTTTTTTTTATGCCCAAGATCACTTTGGAATTTAAGGGCAACTCACGATCTACTTGTGCAGAGGATGTACTTGGTTTGGGAATGAATCAGGGTTATGTAGCAAAGGAGGCTATCTGCAACAAATGTGGCAGGGTTCTAAAACTTGGAAGGTGTGTAGTGAAGAGAAAAGATGACCTCATGGTTAAGATAACTGAATGCTACCCTTAGGGATGTGAGCGACTAATCAACTATCTGATAATGCTAGTCAACTAGTCGCTTCCCCCACTCCTTGCTGCCTCTCTCAGAAAGAGGCAGTGAGGGTAGGGGGGAGAGAAGGCATTTCAAAGCAGCAATGCTGCATGGAGCCAATGGTCATTTGGGGACTCCACCGCTAACCCCGAGCTCCGTGTGGCGCTGCTGCTTTGAAACGCTGCGGGGAGCACAGGGACAGCTGGGGGCTGCTTGAGTTCCCTGCAGTGCTTTTGCCTTTGAAGTGTAGCAGCAGCCCTGCAGCTGTTGCTACATTTCAAAGATGGAGGCTTATTGACTAATTGAATAGTCAATGCAAATTGCATCAACTATTCAATTAGCCAGTTAATCTAAATTTAACATCCCTAGCTACTCTAGGGTGCATCTTCACAGCAGGGATTAAGCTATGTCAGTTGCATCGTTTATTTCGAAATTGGGAGCAGAGCATTTACACAGCACTTACTTGGAAATAGAGCACCCTTCCTCTGAGTTCCCTTATTCCTCATACAGTGAAGGTTACAGGATTTGGAGTAAGAAGTCCTTCAGCTTGACAGTATTTCGACATTGTTTAGAAATAATTCCCTGTTTAGATGCAGACTAAGTTATTTCGAAACAACACATTATTTCAAATTAATGTTGGTGTGTAGACGTACTCCCGGCGATTTGTACTCCCAGCGATTTGTATCCTGTCTCTGCCATAGAATTCCTGTATGACACTACACAAGTCATGTGAACCAAACCCTTCATATGCACCAGTTGTTTCTAGCATTTCTGGGTGCCTGACTTGATTTGCAGAAGTGCTGAGCATTCAGAACATTGTTTGAATACTGTGCAGTAAATAAGACTTAAAGCCCCTTGGCCACATACTAAACAAATAGCATCAAACAAAATATCAAATTTGCTTAGTTGGGACAAACTACTGCCAGATAGGGATATGAAAACATCTTGGATATGTTCTGAGAAGTTTTATTATAATAAACGTGGACACTGACTTCCAAAGATCTATTCAATTTGGCCAGTTAAGTTTCATACCCATGATTACAAGTTGTAGTGACATGTAGCTTGCTTGTATGTTCACTCATGAAGCAACTATTTCAAATGAGAAGACTAATTCTTCTTCCCTGCAGGCTCAAGCCTGCAGTTTTGTATCTTCCTTCCCTACTTGAGTTTAGTATTGCTTTTCTGGATGCTTTTTAAAAAAAAAAAAAAAAAAAAAAAAGGCAAAACTACTAACTTTGATCTGCATTAGTCTCCTGAGTACAGTAAACTTCAAATAATCCGGCACCTTTAGGACCCAGGGGGTGCCGGACTATCATAAGGGGGGGCTATGAGGGTTCTGGAGTGGGGTGAGAGGGGATGCCACTCCAAACCCCTCATAGCCCCCCCTTATGATAGTCAGGCTCTGCCCCAGGAGTCCCTGATTCAGCCGCTGCTGGTCAGTTTGAGCAGCAGCTGAATCGGGGATGCCTGCAATAGAGCAGCTGGGGTGCTGCCAGGTTGGTCCCATAGTGCTGCCCCTCGGGGCTGCGGGACCAACCCGGCAGCACCCCAGTTGTCCCGGATTCAGCCACTGCTGAAACTGACCAGCGGCTGACTCCAGGAAGCCCGAGGCAGAGCTGCTCTGCCCCGGGCTTCCTCGAGTCAGCCCCTGATCAGTTTCAGCAGCAGCTGACTTGGGTACACATGGGACAGAGAAGGCGGGGGGGCTCCGT